AAAAGAAAAAAACACAACCCCACCCAAACCTCAGACCTTCAGCCAGGAACTCATTTGAAGTGGTAGCCTCTAGATCTCCTGTGAAGGATACCTCCTAATTTGGGCTTGATCTCCTAATCAAGATGATTATTCGTGGTTTTGGTGGTTTCAGAAACATATGTGTCCCTCTTAAACAATCCTTCAAAATCACCGGTTCACTGCTATCTGTCTCAGTTAAACCTTGTTTCCAGCATAAGAAAATTGGCTTTACTCTGATTTAACTCCTCTAGTTTTCTTCTGGAGTTTGGTCTATGTTCATGTTATCTTGCAAACACCATTTAATGAAAAGATTTGTTTAGCTTATGCTAATGTGATAAGCTACCTGAAAATAAATTTGAAGAGTGAGCATGGTATTCATCATGCCAGCCAATTTTGTGGCTTGAGCATAAACTTTGAGTACTGTAGAGGAAACACTTGATGCTTGTGGTATTTGCATTTGTGCCTTTATAACAGCTCTTTTTTCTATAGAGCATTAAGGCAGCATGTGTATCCCAAGAATGCAGGTGTTTAGACAGTTTGCTTACTGTAAATTAATTCCCCGTCTTTCTTTGTTCTTAGATGAGTTAGAAGCACAAGCAAAAGAACATGCAAATTCTGCCAGCTGTGAAGATGTGTGGCATAAGATGGATACTCCAGCTGAAACACCTGAAAGCTTTAATACAGAAGCTGCTACCAAAAGTAAAGCAGAGGTATTTCTTGTATTTTTCTAATAAGTGCAACTATGAACTTGAACAAAATTCAAATAAGTCCGATTATTATTGTTTCTTTGAATACAGCTAAATGTGGACTTTCATATCAGCTCACTGCTTTTTATATCGATCATTTGAATCCTAGCAGGTGCCACTGTTTGTTAGGACATTCTCATTAGAATGCCATGATCCTGTAGCGAGTCAGGTGTTAAGATCACCATCTCATTTCCTTTTTCTCCCTACTTCACTTTTGGAGTCGCTTGGTCTGTCAGCCCATAGTTTTTCAGAGATTACTGGGCTATTGACGTTCTGCGATCAAGTTTCCGAATTTCAGCTATGTCTCCCCCTTCTGTTGTTTTTTTTTTTTCTTTTTGATGAAACATCTTGTCTTTAGCATGGGAATAAAGTCTTTTCTTGATAAAATTAAAAAGTATTGATGTGGTATAAGTCTGAAAAAAGTGTATTTTCAATTTGGCAATCCTAGACACCTACCTTCTCTGCCGTACTGTGTCATGTTCTTTTTCTGATTTGGTAGCACACAGGCAGACTCGTTCAGTTACAGAAACAACCCTTCTATGTGGTCACTGAAAGGAATCAGTAGCTAGCAAGTTTGACTTGGTTTAGCTGATCAGATGATGAAAGCTGCAGACTTAAATGCAGAAGGACTGGTTGGATTGCTCATCTGACTATGTACTGCCATAATTGCTTTTCTTTTCTAATTTATCCTTATCCCTGTTGTTCTAGATACAAAATGAGTAATTTGGGGTTTTGATAATGTATATCTAGATTCTAACCTACCCTACCCTCAGTTTGTACAAGTTTAGGTCACCCTCAGTCTGATATGGATGCTAAAATGTTCTCAAACACAGAGAGGTCACAGAATGGTTGAGGTCAGAAGGCATGCCTGGAGATCATCTAGTCCATCCCTTCTTGTTCAAAGCCAGGTCAAATAGAGCAGGTTGGTCAAGGTCCGGTCACATTTTGAGTATCTGCGTTCTCTCTGGGCAACCTGTTCCAGTGTTTGATCATGTTGACATTAAAAATTTTTCCTTATATTTAAATGGAATTTCCTGTATTTAAAATTGTGCCCATTGCCTCCTTTCTTCTTACTGGATACCTCAGAGGAGTCTGGGTCCATCTTCTCTCTGCCCCCTCCTCTACCCCTCAGGTATTTATACATATTGGTAAGATTTCCTCCTGAGCCTTGTTTTCTTGAGGCTAAACAATTCCAACTCTCTCCTCATATGACAGATGCTCCAAGCTCTTACTCATCTTTGTGGCCCTTCACTAGACTCTCTCCAGTATGTCCACTTTTCTACTGGGGAGTCAATAACTCGACCCAGCACTCCAGATGTGGTTGCACCAGCGCTGAGTAGCGGGATTGGGTCTCATACCACCTCCGTAAGCCTGCAGGCAACGCTTTCTTACTGCAGCCCAGGATGCCTTTGCCACAAGGGCACATTGCTGGCTCCTGGTCAGCTTCCTATTGACTTATTGCATGCCCTTTTCTAAGAATAGCCAAGTGAAAACTAAAGAAGAAATCAGACTTCAGTGACAAAGAAAACTGTAGGAATAGCTTTGTCTTCCCCTTGGAGAGGCGGATGATTTAGTTGATTGGGAAGATACTGTGTATTTGGCCATGGTAGCTTCTTCTCTGCTGTTTGTTCTCGATGGGATTTTGTTCCCCATTCTTCCAATTGAATTAAAACATTTTAGGATTTTAGAAGTTTTACAGGAACTAAGGCTTCCTAGCAGGCAATCTTTATTTAATCTTTTAAAAAAAACTTTGTGGAGTAGACTTAAAAAATTAGTACAGTGAGAATTATGGGCATTGCTGTGTTCCTTCCTGACAGGTGATTAAAAATGTGACAACTAGTAATGTTAATATATTACCATATAGCAGAATGCAAAATAATGTAAACAAACAAAACACAGAAAACAAAACACTAACAAAAAGTTTCTTAATTTGATACTTAACTTGTTTTGGTTTGTTGTAGGATGGAATTCATAAAGATAAGTTTGAAGATGGGTTATCTCATCATTCTGACTCTGTCCTGAGTATTAGCACGATCGCATCTGCTATTGCTAATGCTTCCTCCAGTGCTGATCCTGCCCAGCTAGCTGCTATGATGATGGCACTCTCTAATAAAGGTAAAAGAACGTGTTTCCTTCCTGGAATTGTTAAGGAGACGGAACTATCTGCTAATCAGGTGTTATCCAGCAATGTGGAAAATAGCACATTTGATATGGAAAAATACCTCAAAAAAACAGATGAGATTGGACATGAAAGTGAATATGAGAGTATCATGAAACATGAAGCATCTGTCCAGAGCCTTATACCTGGTACCTTTTTATTGGGTAAAGATAAAAATAAGGATACTTTTGCAGAAGACTTGATAAGTAATCATAGCAAGCAGCAAGAAAGAGAGAAGCGATTTCTGGATTATTTTAATGAAGAAAATGATTCTCAGATTTTCCCTAGTCTATCTGGTGTTCCCAACCATGAAGACATAACTGCAAATAATGTTAAATATTCAGAAAAGTTGTCAGATTTAGTGAATAGTAAACACTCACAGTCAGTGAATGCTGATCTTAGATCAGATACGCTCGATACCAAAACCTCACCTACTGGAAATGTAGCACAGACATGTGGAATTCCTTTAGCAGCGAAAATGGAAGTGGCACAGAGAAGTTCACTTGCTTACCAGACCAGCGATCTCTCTAGATGTTTTATCAGGGGAGATGCAGAAACAGTAGATCAAGCAACACGTGCTGGTCCTGAACCACGTAATGATTTGGTGAAGAGAAGTACAGGAAATCCTCTGTCAGTCAGCAACGTAAAACCTGCCAAGCAATCTAGTAAATATGTCTCAGGAAGTCCTACAAAAGCAAAGCCTATGCAGAAGTTGGACAATGACGAAAAGAAGCAAAATGCAAAAATAGAGAAGAGAAACAAAGACACCGGTACTGCTTGCGGTGGGAATGGGAAACATGTAACTTTTGATAACCCCTCCCGAACTTCCCAGAATAGTACTGGTAAGTAATCCTATATAAATGTAACCAGTTGTTGAAAAGGCTTTGCTTGACAGCAGACTTGTTCCCTGTGCCTAAGTAAATACTGTTATTAAATTCTATTTACCAGAGCATAAACCCATTCTACCTGAATGTGACTTGCAGCCTCTGGAAGATGAGCAGTGTAGCTTCAGACCTTCAACTTCACCACTTATTCACTCTTCTCCTAGTGAGACTTCTGGAACAGCACTTTCAGGGTAAATTTCTTGGTGCAGATTATAAGAATTATTAATGCTTCATAAGGATTTTTGAGGGATCAGGTTTTAGTTTGAATGTTGTCCTTGATCTCGGTTTATAGGAGATGTTTGTCAGGCTAATACTTCATTCTCAGACTAAGCTTTCTGTTTGCTTTTATTATTTGTATGGGGAAACAGTCCTGAGCAATTGTTAACTTTTTTATTTTCCTCACTGGCCTGATGAGACAGGGATGCTGGATAGGAACATTGCTGTTTCTGATCAGGATTATCCAATAATGCAAGAATACAAAATATTCAGCCCATTAGATACGTTAGATACCTAAAACTTTGTGTTGATGGAGCTATAAAATCCAATATTTATTAATTGTTGTTCTAGCGTAATTCATCTGTTACAAACAAAGCTATTTGGTTGGAGGTTATGCTGTTTATTATTATATGATGTTATATGATAACAAAGCTTGACATTGTACAGACCAAAGAAGATGTGTTTTTTAAACTCGTAAGTATTTTGCTCAGTTTGGTTCTCCGATTCATACCACTGCTTGTTGTGAGAGAGGATGGGTAGAAATGTTTGTATTGCTTTTGACCACTTCATATTTTGAAACTGCAACTTGTGTCTAAGATTTAAGGCTTTCTTAGCAACTGAAAAGGCAATGTTTTTTAAATGAGCTCCCATAACAGTAAGTGTTATATAAACTATAAGGTTACAAGTAAGTTGACTATGTAGTCTTAAACATATAAACATGGTCAGTAGCCAATGGCTATGTATGTTCTCATAAAAAGTGGAGGCAACTGATTTCATTGCCTTAACTTTTAAGTTCACTGTTTGATATTTGACTACAGTTAGTGTGTTGTACATGGTGTTAGAGTTACAGACTGTCTCGCATTTCTCAGAAGCTAAAATGTGCAGAAGTACGTGTATTTTTGCGAGTGTCTTATATAGACATTAAGATTTCCAGTTAAAATTGTCAGTGACTTACTTTGCCTGTTATTGCTTCTTGTTTGACAAAGTGGTGAGAGATCCTGTGTTTTCAGGTGTGTGAAATGAAGAGAATGTCAGCAGTGAATAGGAAATACTAATGTGTAATGCCTGGGATGTTGAATGTTTTTATTTGAAATTCTTCCATCTAGTTAGATACAAGTATATTGATTCGCATTTTTTCTTTTAATAAGCTGTTATGTTGTTTCTGTGCCCTTAGCATCTGAGTTCAGTTGCGGAACTCTGATGCTTTGCCTTATGGATTTATATCAAATGAAAATTAGTTTTATGTACACCAAAGCTGAGACTTGTAAAGGTTAATTGAGAGCTGATTTCTCATTTCTACTGACCGCACTAGAGTGGCTAAGTAAGTTGACTTTTAGACTAGTATAGTTAATGTGTAGCATTGATTTTTCTGGGGGCAGCATTAGAAATATATTCTAATACTGACATACTTTGATCTGTTTTTCAGGTCTGAAAGTGACTTTACTTGCACATCACACTATCAGGAACCTTCTTGCAAAGAGAGTGTACTACCTCAGTCAGTTTACTCAAGTCCTAGCATGAGCAGATTAACATATGTCTCTGCATCTGACAGTACCCTTAAGAACACAGCTGTAATACATGATCCGGAGACATACTGGGTAAGAAAATCTTGAACTGTAAATATGTCTTAATTCCCTTTCTTTAAAGCAAACAAAACAACACCTCCCCTTCATCCCCAAACCAAACCCTTAAATGCTCAAAGTAATTCTAAATTAGAAAAACTGAAAGGATTTCAGAACAGTTTAGGACATGCTGTGCGTAGGGAAAAGGTATTCTGCTTCTCCCCCCACCTCCTGAGTTTTGCAGAAACTTAAATTCTGAAATAGATTGTGTCAAATGCACAAACTCTAATGCATATAGACATAGTAAAACACTCAAAGAACTACTAAATTCTGAAAAAAGTTAGAGTTGGTGTATTTTTCCCCTTTCATTTTTTCCTCAATTTCTTGTTAAGTCATTCTGTTCTTGGAATGCAGTGCACTGTTCCAGTAGTAGTTTGCAGGATCTGTATCTGCTTTCAGCACTCCTGAGGCTCCCTTTCTTCTCAGCTTCAGCTATTAGGAGAGTATTTTTCCTGTGGTGTTTTTTTTTTTTTTTTTCCTGGAGAAATGTTTATAAATACATATTTGGGTACATGGGCGTTGGGTAGAAGGTTGGACTTGATGATCTTTGAGGTCTCTTTCAACCATAATGATTCTATGATTTTAGCTTTAACTTTTTTCAGAACTGAAGCTATCATTTTCTACCTTTGACAGTCATTCTGACTGCTCCTACTGCTTTAGCAAGGAGTCTACTCTGAGAGTGAAACTTCTGTTCTGACTTGCAGTCTTATGCTGATTAAGATAATTGTCATTCTTTCATCTAAATCCATGGATTCCTTGGAATCTGGAATCTTTCTGTTATGCCTACCCCCTTCCAAAGTACGTGGAAATGTGGATGGGACTTTAAAAATCAAGCAAACAAAAGCTGCAAAACCTCTCTGACTGCATCCATATCTGTGTAAATCTGAGTGGTTACATTTATTTTGTAATATCTTTATCAGTAGTGGATTTTTCTAACACAGGAAATAAAAATGCTATCTATGATGCATTTTTTTTTTTAATTCACTTGCAGAGGGTGGGGCTTTTCAGGACTGGTGACTAGTGAAAGCTTAGAGAAGCCTTCTTTTCCTCACATAGGAATGCCAGTAGCAATGTTCCTTCATGCTGAAAGCATCAGGAAGAAGGAAGCGTGTGTTGTGGCCTGTAGTTCATTTTGTTCTAGGCCTAGTTGCTAAAGTTACGCAGGGAATATCTGTTCTTTTCCATCTTGATGTTTCCAGTGGGAATCGTAGTCCCATAGGAAGGAACCCAAGGGCAAATTTAAATGGGTATTTGCTTGCAGTCCATGCTGGCATAGCATCAACTCTTGGGTCTATTTCATATTTGAAATGCGTATGGTTCTAGATTCCTGGTGTCTTGTGCAGACGCCTGGCTCTTGATGCTTTGACAGAACTGGCTGCACACTAGTTTGCCCCTCTGTCTTGAAGAGATGTTGATGTTTGAGTAGTCTTTGTTCCCCAGGATAGTTTGGCAGGGAGGTCCTCAAGTACTTTGTCAAAGTTCCACATTTGTATTATGAGTACATTTATAAGTCCCATTTATAATGCTGCAGTGCTAATTTATTCCTTTGGGTTAGTAATCTTTTACGCAGGGAGAGAGAGAGGCTGAGAGATCTTCATCTCATTTGTACTTATTAAGAACCACTTTCAGGTCCCTTGCCTGAAGCTTCTTACAAACAAGAATGTTTGTATTGGAGTTATCTTCAGATCTGAATACTTACTACAGCACAATCTGTTTAACCGGTGGTGGCCTCTCCCTTTAACACTAGGGTCAGGTTGTCGAAGGTACATGATTTTTTGAAGTTTTTTTTTTTATTTCTTGTTTGGTTGATTTGACCTAGTGAGCCATCTCACCTCAGGCAGCTGCCCTGAATGCCCTTTTTAAAGGATTGTAACTTGCAGCTTACTTTTCTACAACAACCCAAACAGCTACTTTATTGTTCTTTCCCCTTCTTTCACATGCATCTCCCTGCCTCCCAAGTCCTATTACTTAAGCTCAACAATTGCTTTGTACTCTAGATACTCTTCATACTTTTGTGTTAAGTCTCTTCCTGTGTCGGAGTTCTCTAGGTATGCCTGTCCTGAGCTGATGTCTGCTTGCTTTGGTACCACATCGTCTAGTTTTGGTTTTGAAACTTTTAAAAATTATTTTGAAACTCCATTTTTGAAAATGGAGTTTGCGATCTGCATGTACTTCACAATAGAAGTTATCTTTGTAGCACGTCTAAAAAACACTTTCATTTTTTGGATTGGTAGGGGAGATCCGTGGAGTTCCATCCCCTGTGTTGCGAAGCCTGCCGAGTGTGCTGCCGGGCGTGGGAGGGTGGTTGTCCCATGGTCAGTCCTCCTCCGCTGATCAGTGCCAACGCTACTGTTGGTAGCTGTGAACAGTGCAGGAGAGGGTGTGATCGCTTCTACTCTTGACAGTTAACCCAACAGGAGATTCCATGAAACACATTTTGTGTATCCATATTTATGATCTGTACTTCTTTTTCTCTTGGTTTGATTTCCAAGTTCAAAAACCTCAAGACTCTGGGACTAAGAGGAACTGAGAATGGGGGCAAGGTGTGCTTGTTCCACCTGTGCTGTGCATACCTGCCAAAATGGAAGGCCTCTGGGCTTGAATGGTTTCTTTGTGTAAGTGCACAAAGAAAGTGCTTTCATGCATCTCAGATGAATCCTTTTTGATTAGTGATTTGGTCCAGGGCCATTCCGTTTTTAAATTATTTTTTTTCTTAAAAGCTGGCAAGTATGTCTTTAGTGTTTGGTGTGTTGGGTTTTTTTGTTCTCAACAAATCTATCTGCTATGATGTTACTGTAACTTACTGCTGCTGGGTCCTTAGCTTTTACTAAGAACCCTAAGTACAGATTTGATACCTAATCACATCAGCTTTTTGTTAGTGGACTCTTAATACTTCGGGATTCTAATTTCTTGTTAGAAGAAACTCAGGCCTTAGTAAGCACTTCTACATTCAAGAAGTCATAAAGAATACGGAGAGAAGTCATTTATACCGCACTTGGATGCTGCTATTTAGGATCGATTCATGCATTTTTAAATGTGAAAATCTTCTTGGTATTGGATCCAAAGTCAATAAATAAGACAACTCACTGCATGTCTCTGTTTTTTAGAATAATAGTGTCTGTGAACCTGTCAGTGAGTTTAAGAATCTGCTCCATTTGGTTTTTTTATAATACAGTTACTTTCCCACAGCATGGCTTTATAAAATCATAGGAAGTCAAGCATTTCTGGCCTTAAGTCTGGGCCAGCTCTTAAAAGGGGTGGCAGAGGCTCTCTTAACCCCTGCCCTCCCCCGGGAGGGGAAAACTCGGAGGAAAGGGACAGGGACTTAGGGGCTGGAAATTAAAACTACTTTAATAATACAATAATAATGGAAAATAATATAAGGTATTAATACTAATGCTACTAATAATGGGAAAAAAAAAGGAAAAATATACAAAACCGATCCTGAGTGTCCTGATGAGGGTGGGGGATTGCAGGCCGCAGGCCGCAGCCCCCAGAGGCTCCGGCGCCGGCGCCAGCAGGCCACGCGCCCACACCCAGACATCCCACAGCCAACAGGAACCGGATTCAGGAATGCACAGGTCGGGGTCGGAGGCAGGAGAGCGAGCAGGGTCCCACAGGGATGCCGGCCATGAAGGAGGAGAACGAGACCCTCGTGATCCCTTAGCT